TACGAGGGATAATACTTCTCTCGGATCAGCTCCTTGAATTGGTCCCACGTACAACCATCTTTCTCTCCGGGACGCATACTCCAGTAGGCATTCCACCAGAGTCGGGCATCACCGGTCAGCTGGATCTGGGCACATAACATACGATAAAGATCAGGGCAGTTCATGACCTCGAAAATCATCTCGAGGCCCTGAACCCATTCGTCTACTATACGAGGATCTCCTTGGCCGAAAAACTTTTTTGGTTGGTAGTCGCGAAACTGTGCGACCACTGTGGCCTGGGAGCGTTCCTGGTGTTCTGGATCTCTATGAGGAGGCATCTGAACATTGAAATGTTTAGCATGATTAAATAACATAATAGATTAACTAACTGATTACTTAAGTACACAAATTTCTTGACGAGTCGCTAAATAACCCGAGAATACTAAAGTCGAACTATCAAGTGACTAAGACAATCAACTAGGTTCTGCAAATATTCGAGCATCTTATTAGTGTCTAGGGTCAAATGTCTGGTACCCTCTACTGAGCATAGACTTAAGCATTCGTTTAAATATATATAAACTATAACTCATCACTTACCTGATAGTCGGCGAGGCGTGAGCGTAGCATGGTCGGGTCTTTTCTGAAAATTTCTGACTTAAAAGTATTCAGATACACAAAAACGTGCTCTGATACCAATTTGTAACACCCCGCTAGCTTACTAAAATCAGAGTGCAATTTTCGCAAATTTCTTTTCTAAAATTTACATTTTCGTTTGCGAAATATGTCTCGGGATGCTACATAAAATATTCCTTTGCTAAAAATCCGTTATCTTTATAAATATCTAAACCCATTCATGAAAACCGATTATCTTTTATAAAACAAGCGTGTGATACTGTATAAAATCTGACCCGAAGACTCGGATCGTCATCTGAAAATTTAAACGCTAGTTTGAGAATCTGAAAACGTCAGCGGAAGTAAAAACGTGGCAAATAATATACATATAATAAGTCTGAAAAAGCATAATTACATATATACTGCACCGACGACCACCAGCTTCGCTCACTCCTCCGGACCGACCCTGTCACCTGAAAAATAATCATAATAGTGGGAGCGTGAGTACTAAAATCATTGTACTCCGCAGAAACTCATACTGAAGTAAACATCAATGATAATATCAATATCATGACTACAGGTATATATAAGTAAACTGTAATCTCCAGACACAAGGTCTGTAACTGAACTGAACTGTCTCGGACACTATGTCCGCCATGTGCACACTCTGATGGGCAATTAAGGCCTCGCGCCTCCATCAGAACTTTGGATGGGCAATTAAGGCCTCGCGCCTCTACCCAAAGTGGATATCTCATATACATACCTTAAAACATGATAGAGCAATTATAACCAATGTAATACCCATTCTGAGTCCCCACCTGTACTGATAATGTAAGTGCTGCTGCTGATCACTCTGTAGAAATATATAAATAAAC